CTGGGGAAGCATGACCTGATCATCAGGTTCCTTAGGGGGGCGAGAAGGCTAAATCCTCCATGGCCCCCCTCTATACTCTCTTGGGACCTGACTCTAGTGCTCACAGCACTACAGCAGGTCCCATTTGAGCCTTTGCAGACAGTCGAGCTGAAGTTTCTGTCAATAAAAACTCTACTCCTGCTTGGCCCTACATCAAGAGGGTAGGGGACCTGCACGCGTTTTCGGTCGACGATTCGTGCCTAGAGTTCGGGCCGGCCGACTCCCAGGTAACTCTGAGGCCCCGGCCTGACTATGTGCCCAAGGTTCCCACTACTCCCTTCAGGGATCAGGTGGTGAGCCTGCAAGCGCTGCCCCCGGAGGAGGCAGACCCAGCCCTTCTCGCCGAGAAGACCCCCGAAGATGCCCGATCGGAGTCGTGCTGTCCTTTTTGCAGCAAGGGTTGGAGCGAAGGTTTCCCTCCACCCTCAAAGTTTATGTCGCTGCAATCGCGGCTAACCAAATAGGCGACCCCGTAGAAGGGAGGTCGCTGGGGAAGCATGACCTGGTCGTCAGGTTCCTTAAGGGGGTGAGAAGGTTAAATCCTCCACGGCCCCCCTCTATACGCTCTTGGGACCTGACTCTGGTGCTCACGGCACTACAGCAGGGCCCATTTGAGCCTTTGCAGACGGTCGAGCTGAAATTTCTTTCGATGAAGACTTTGCTCCTGCTGGCATTGGCCTCCATCAAGAGGGTAGGGGACCTGCACGCATTTTCGGTCAACGATTCGTGCCTAGAGTTCGGGCCGGCTGATTCCCAGGTAACCCTGAGGCCCCGGCCCGGCTATGTGCCCAAGGTTCCCGCTACTCCCTTCAGGGATCAGGTGGTGAACCTCCAAGCGCTGCCCTCGGAGGAGGCAGACCCAGCCCTAGCTTTGCTCTGTCCCGTTCGAGCCTTAAGGTGCTACGTAGACCAGACACAAAGCTTCAGGACCTCAGACCAGCTCTTTGTCTGTCACGGAGGCCGGCAGAAGGGGAATGCCGTCTCTAAACAGAGGATGGCCCACTGGATAGTGGATGCCATCACCCTGGCTTATCAGGCACAGGGTGTGCCCTGCCCGTTCTGATTGCGAGCTCACTCAACTAGAAGTGTTGCATCCTCTTGGGCACTGGCTCGTGGCGCCTCGCTGGCAGATATCTGTAGAGCTGCGGGCTGGGCGACCCCTAACACGTTCGCTAGATTCTATAGCCTTCGTGTGGAGCCGGTATCCTTCTGTGTTCTCACCTCAAACCGGTAGAAGCACTGAGAGGCCCCGGCTTCGGGTCGGCTTGCAAAAACCACTCCAGAGAATCCATGCCGTAGTCCCTGTTGAGCTCCTCCGTCCACTCGGCAGCCAGACGTGGCGGAGCGTCCGGCACCAGGCCTTCACTCGTTGAATCCTCGAGAACCGGTAAAAGGCTGGGTTCCATATGTAAGACCTAAGTGGATCCCATATGTGTAAAGTCCACGGTATAGCCTCGAGCCCGTGTTTCCCCGGCAGACTTCTGCCATTTCCAAGAGGGTTACAATCACCTCCATTCTTCCATATGCACCCAAGGAATGTTCATATGTGTATTGCTTCCGAAACCTCCTTCGGGAAGGTTGGAGCTTCCGTAACGTCCCTGTTCCAAGTAGAACGGGTACGTTTTCCCAGTGTTATCCAGTCTTACTCAGTGGGTAGTGCCATAGCAGCAGTAGCTGGTCCTCTTGTGCAAGCCCTGGCCTACGCCAAAAAGTAGGGGCGCAGGTGGCTTCCACAGGACACTGGAAGGGGCGGTAGCTGTGGCCTTTTGGTAGGATCCCAATTCGTCGGTCATCCGACGTGACGTCGAGAGTGACCGACTGAAAGGGAACGTCTCGGTTACGTATGAACCGAGACGTTATCTTGTTTGTTTTCCCCCAGATTTCAAGATTCCCAATTTTTTACAAGAAGACACCCTAGACTGAAGCACTGGGGTTTTGAAGCAGTGCTGTGCAGTACTGATGTATTTGTATGTGTTCTAGCTATGGAGAGTCATGGGGAAGCTGAGATCCAGGTGTATCTAAATTGCAGCCACTGTCAGACCCAGAGCTGTAAGAGAGATGAAGATACCAGACTCATCCTCTGCCTGTGCGACAGTGATGAGGTTCTTGCACCAGACAACGTCACCTGCCTAGGTACCTAAACAGCCGGTGGCCATTTGCCCTTAAAAGTTTGTCTATAAAAGCATTTGTTTGAAATATTTCTAATTCACCACTTTTTATGTCATCCACCAGTTGTTCCATTGGGCTCCCTGGCAGACAGACCCCCATCCCTGATATTTATCCTGGTGGTGATCGCGTCCACAGTAGTTACGGGTGTTGTTCTGACCTGTGCCAGCCTCACACTCAGTAAGAGACTCTTCCAGTTCTGCATCAGCTCTGTGCCCTCCACATGCCATCGTCTCTGACATGCTTCATTTATCTCCCTGTGACATATATAGGCTTGCAAAAAACTGCATTTCCTAGAAGAGCAAATTCAGGGGAGTGCAACATCAGTGCTTTTAGAGCTTGTAGCAAACAATAATTGTGAGAACAACAGGAAGGAGAATGGGAATTATAATCAAAGTTGGTGACTAGTTTTTTTTTTTTCATGCCCCAAAATTATTTTTCAAGTACAAAATTAACTTAAAAACATTGGAGCCAATGGGCATTAGTGTTTCATCATTTAAAAAAACCTAAAGAAAATGGATAAAAAATGTGACATGAACAAAACTGTGACATGAAAAAAAAAACACTAGGGACAATTATGTGGCCAAATGTTATACAGCACTTTAATACTGTGGGAAAGGGCACAAGTAACAGTGACAATTGACATATACACTAGCTTTGGCTATCAGTTTGGCTATCAATTTGGCATCAGTAAGTTTTTTTTAAAATACTTTAATAATAATAATTCATTAATAATAAAAATTAATACTTTTATTCACCAAGGAGGCATTAAATTGATCAAAAGTTACAGTAAAGACATTTATAATGCACTTAAATGCTATTCTTTTGAACTTTGTTCATCAAGAATGCTGAAAAAATGTATCAAGGTACAAAAATATTAAGCAGCACAACTGTTAACATTGATAATTGTTGACATATACACTAGCTTTGGCTATCAGTTTGGCTATCAATTTGGCATCAGTAAGTTTTTTTTTAAATACTTTAATAATAATAATTCATTAATAATAAAAATTAATACTTTTATTCACCAAGGAGGCATTAAATTGATCAAAGTTACAGTAAAGACATTTATAATGCACTTAAATGCTATTCTTTTGAACTTTGTTCATCAAGAATGCTGAAAAAATGTATCAAGGTACAAAAATATTAAGCAGCACAACTGTTAACATTGATAATTGTTACGACCCCAGAAGTTGTAAGAAGTGTTCCAAATCAGCATTTCTGAAGGACCATGTGACACTGAAGACTGGAGAAATGGCTGCTAAAAATTCAGCTTTGCCATTACAGGAATAAATTACATTGTAAAATATGTTCAAATAGAAAACAGTTATTTTAAAGTGTTTTTTACTGTATTTTTGTTCAAATAAATGCAGCCTTGCTGAGCATAAGAGAGACATTTAAAAATTATACCGACCCTAAACTTTTGAACCATAGTGCACACAGGCTAAAATGGATGACATGAACCCCCCCCCATGAACTATCAAATGTGTATTACAAAAACTTTAAGTTATGCTAAATAAGCTAACTGCCAGTTAGGCCTCCAGCAATATTCACATATATTCACTTGTTTCTTAATTCCTAACATTTTGCGGTTGCTCTTGCTGTTATCTTGCTGTTAATTTCACACTCTTTTAACATACCTTTTCTGTTAAATTTTGAACAGTGTGTTTTTAATATTCGTACAAATTGCTTGCTTGTTTTTTATATATCTAACTACTGTATGTAGTGTTGCACAATACCCCTTAAAGGAACGAGGAGGGAACTAAGACAGGGACTGCTATTAACCTTAAAACATGGCCTTTGAAATTAATGCATGTAAATAAACAATCAAGCCAAATTATTTTCAAAACTAACTGCAGTCTCACTGATGGGCTTTTTTGTAAATGTGTGCTGACCAGTATCTTAATTATAATTGCTGCTATTTAACTTGAGTGTTTTTACTTGCAACAACATTTTATGCTTAAAAAAAATATTATTTTCCAATACAGGACAGTGAGGGAATATTGAGGGTGTCATAATGCACTGTCCCTATAAATGTGAGCGTCTTGTGGAATTAATGAGGTTATAATTTTTTTCTTCAAAAATATTGGTAAAAATTCATAATACTTTCATCGCACTGGTGGCTGTCCAAAACACCAACCTTTGAATTTAACTCTCATAAAGGAATCTAAAAAATGTTTTTATATCAAAAGTCAAAAGCAGTGACTTTGGGATGCACCGAGATTTGTGATTATATTGATAATTACTTTATTACATATAATCACTTAGGATATTTTATTGGCTACAAAAAAGATAAGAAAACAAAAAAGATATGATAACATATATGATGGCCGATATTATAAATAAATACTGTTTGTTTTTTCCCCTAACATTACAATTTAAAATGTTACACTTAATGGAAAGCTATAGGCATTAAAACATTATAATATGCAATAGAAACTTGGCATAGAAAGAGTATATTGTTTGAATAGAAGAAAGAAAGTACTTGCTTTTATCACCACCTTAATCTGGTCAGTGTCAGTAAATAAAGAATATGGCACTTTACAGTAAGGTTATATCGATTAACTAAAATTAACCAACAATGAGCAATACATTTGTTACACTATATATTAATCTTTGTTACCTTTAGTTAACAATAAAAATAAAAATACAGCTGTTCATTGTTTGTTCATGTTAGCTCAGGTAATATTATACATCTTTTGATTTTAATATTGTATTGGTGAATGTTGAAATGAACAAATTAAAATGTTTTAGAACTATTTTTCATGTTGTTATTGTATAGTAGTTAACTAATGTTAACAAAAGGAACCTTATTGTAAATTGTTATCGAAATATGTATTGTGCATTCCTAGAAATCACTAGAACCCATTTCTAGAACTCAATTTCCCAAACCCTTTAAATATGATCGAGATATGCCGTAAACCAACAATCTGCCACGGTGCTCTAACTTTATGTATATGTGATGGACTCTTATCACTATAAATGCTATATTTTTATATTGATCATGCTTAATATCATGTATCCTTCTTATGTTTGATTTAAAAACATATTGTTTGTTTGACTTGTGCACTAACTGTAAAATGCTGTGCCATGACTTGTTTTGTATGTATTTTTAAGATAAATAAAGACTTGTCATAACCCAAATTCCCAAAGAGAAGTGAAACAGACCTCTAAAAAGACATCTTAAAGCATGTTTCTTGAAAAGGTTTTTGTTTTGTATATTTAATTTGAACATTATATGTAATTTTCGGCAATTTACATGTAATCTAAACTCAAATGCAAACAGCAGAGCGAGGTCTCTGGGTCCTTAGTTAGAAGAGCTCCACTGGACGCTAATTGTGTGTCTTCCCCTGAGCTCTCCCCCATGCAGGTTGGTAGTCTTTGCTCGGGTTCCCCCCCCTCACCCTTAATACCTGGTCAACTTCCTGCCGGCTTCGCTTCGCGCCACTGCGCCAGCAGCCCGACGGCAAAAGGGGACCTCTCACCTCCATGCAGCGCCCTCCCCAGCAGACTACCAACCTGCATTGGGGACATGGGCAGCCTCCACTGAGGGTGAGTCCACTCTGCCCGATCGCTTGCTGACAGGCCCAGAGCTTCAGTCCTCACCTGAGAGGCTTTTTGATTTTATAATGCACAATTCTGTCCTCTTGATAGAATTCCATGGGAGAAATAAGTGCACTTGGTTGAAAATTACCATCATGCTGAAAGTCTGTTGACACTTTTATGATGCATCACTTTCATCTTGTGCAAATTGTACTCTGAGACCAATAATTATTCAAATTAAGCAGGTGGAATTATTCCTAAAGAGAACTTCTTAAAAACATGATCACTTTTGCTGATTCCTGGTGTGTTTTTGTCTTTTTGCAGTCTATTACCGTAAGAAGAACCACCTGCATGCGGTCAGGATTCGACTACAGAGCCCAGAGTACAAGCTTAGCAAAATCCGCTCGTCAACCATAATGACTGACTACAACCCCAACTACTGCTTTGCTGGCAAAGCGGCTTCACTGAGTGAGCTTAAGGAGGTTCCACGTAAGAACATCACCCTCCTCAGGTATCTATATGCCGCTTCATACATACCGTTTGAGGTCCCTAAGATTTAAAAAAAGTTTTTGAAAGAAGTCTCTTATACTCAGCAAGACTGAATTCATTTGATCAAAAATACAGTAAGAACAGTAATATTGTGAAATATTATTGCAATTTAAAATAACTTTTTTTCCTATTTTAATATACTTTCAAATGTAATATATTCCTGTGATGACAAAGCTGAATTTTCAGCATCATTACTCCAGTCTTCAGTGTCACACGATCCATCAGAAATCATTCTAATCTGCTGATTTGGTGCTCAAGAAACATATCGTCTCGGTTACGTATGTAACCCTGGTTCCCTGAAGGAGGGAACGGAGACGTCACGTCCCGTCGCCACAGCTCCTGTACCACCGCTGAGCGGCCGGGTCACCGGCTTGGCTCCTCAGCGAAAACCTGAATATGCGCTGCATCTGCTGCCTACTTATACTCACGCTGTGATCAGCAGCAGCTGGATGCAATAATCGCATGCCAATGTGCATTGGCTCGTTTAGTTTACACTCGAAGTGGATTGGTCTCTCTAAGCGAGATCCCAATTCGTCGGTCATCCGACGTGACGTCGAGAGTGACCGACTGAAAGGGAACGTCTCGGTTACGTATGTAACCCTCGTTCCCTGAAGGAGGGAACGGAGACGTCACGTCCCGTCGCCACAGCTCCTGTACCACCGCTGAGCGGCCGGGTCACCGGCTTGGCTCCTCAGCGAAAACCTGAATATGCGCTGCATCTGCTGCCTACTTATACTCACGCTGTGATCAGCAGCAGCTGGATGCAATAATCGCATGCCAATGTGCATTGGCTCGTTTAGTTTACACTCGAAGTGGATTGGTCTCTCTAAGCGAGATCCCAATTCGTCGGTCATCCGACGTGACGTCGAGAGTGACCGACTGAAAGGGAACGTCTCGGTTACGTATGTAACCCTCGTTCCCTGAAGGAGGGAACGGAGACGTCACGTCCCGTCGCCACAGCTCCTGTACCACCGCTGAGCGGCCGGGTCACCGGCTTGGCTCCTCAGCGAAAACCTGAATATGCGCTGCATCTGCTGCCTACTTATACTCACGCTGTGATCAGCAGCAGCTGGATGCAATAATCGCATGCCAATGTGCATTGGCTCGTTTAGTTTACACTCGAAGTGGATTGGTCTCTCTAAGCGAGATCCCAATTCGTCGGTCATCCGACGTGACGTCGAGAGTGACCGACTGAAAGGGAACGTCTCGGTTACGTATGTAACCCTCGTTCCCTGAAGGAGGGAACGGAGACGTCACGTCCCGTCGCCACAGCTCCTGTACCACCGCTGAGCGGCCGGGTCACCGGCTTGGCTCCTCAGCGAAAACCTGAATATGCGCTGCATCTGCTGCCTACTTATACTCACGCTGTGATCAGCAGCAGCTGGATGCAATAATCGCATGCCAATGTGCATTGGCTCGTTTAGTTTACACTCGAAGTGGATTGGTCTCTCTAAGCGAGATCCCAATTCGTCGGTCATCCGACGTGACGTCGAGAGTGACCGACTGAAAGGGAACGTCTCGGTTACGTATGTAACCCTCGTTCCCTGAAGGAGGGAACGGAGACGTCACGTCCCGTCGCCACAGCTCCTGTACCACCGCTGAGCGGCCGGGTCACCGGCTTGGCTCCTCAGCGAAAACCTGAATATGCGCTGCATCTGCTGCCTACTTATACTCACGCTGTGATCAGCAGCAGCTGGATGCAATAATCGCATGCCAATGTGCATTGGCTCGTTTAGTTTACACTCGAAGTGGATTGGTCTCTCTAAGCGAGATCCCAATTCGTCGGTCATCCGACGTGACGTCGAGAGTGACCGACTGAAAGGGAACGTCTCGGTTACGTATGTAACCCTCGTTCCCTGAAGGAGGGAACGGAGACGTCACGTCCCGTCGCCACAGCTCCTGTACCACCGCTGAGCGGCCGGGTCACCGGCTTGGCTCCTCAGCGAAAACCTGAATATGCGCTGCATCTGCTGCCTACTTATACTCACGCTGTGATCAGCAGCAGCTGGATGCAATAATCGCATGCCAATGTGCATTGGCTCGTTTAGTTTACACTCGAAGTGGATTGGTCTCTCTAAGCGAGATCCCAATTCGTCGGTCATCCGACGTGACGTCGAGAGTGACCGACTGAAAGGGAACGTCTCGGTTACGTATGTAACCCTCGTTCCCTGAAGGAGGGAACGGAGACGTCACGTCCCGTCGCCACAGCTCCTGTACCACCGCTGAGCGGCCGGGTCACCGGCTTGGCTCCTCAGCGAAAACCTGAATATGCGCTGCATCTGCTGCCTACTTATACTCACGCTGTGATCAGCAGCAGCTGGATGCAATAATCGCATGCCAATGTGCATTGGCTCGTTTAGTTTACACTCGAAGTGGATTGGTCTCTCTAAGCGAGATCCCAATTCGTCGGTCATCCGACGTGACGTCGAGAGTGACCGACTGAAAGGGAACGTCTCGGTTACGTATGTAACCCTCGTTCCCTGAAGGAGGGAACGGAGACGTCACGTCCCGTCGCCACAGCTCCTGTACCACCGCTGAGCGGCCGGGTCACCGGCTTGGCTCCTCAGCGAAAACCTGAATATGCGCTGCATCTGCTGCCTACTTATACTCACGCTGTGATCAGCAGCAGCTGGATGCAATAATCGCATGCCAATGTGCATTGGCTCGTTTAGTTTACACTCGAAGTGGATTGGTCTCTCTAAGCGAGATCCCAATTCGTCGGTCATCCGACGTGACGTCGAGAGTGACCGACTGAAAGGGAACGTCTCGGTTACGTATGTAACCCTCGTTCCCTGAAGGAGGGAACGGAGACGTCACGTCCCGTCGCCACAGCTCCTGTACCACCGCTGAGCGGCCGGGTCACCGGCTTGGCTCCTCAGCGAAAACCTGAATATGCGCTGCATCTGCTGCCTACTTATACTCACGCTGTGATCAGCAGCAGCTGGATGCAATAATCGCATGCCAATGTGCATTGGCTCGTTTAGTTTACACTCGAAGTGGATTGGTCTCTCTAAGCGAGATCCCAATTCGTCGGTCATCCGACGTGACGTCGAGAGTGACCGACTGAAAGGGAACGTCTCGGTTACGTATGTAACCCTCGTTCCCTGAAGGAGGGAACGGAGACGTCACGTCCCGTCGCCACAGCTCCTGTACCACCGCTGAGCGGCCGGGTCACCGGCTTGGCTCCTCAGCGAAAACCTGAATATGCGCTGCATCTGCTGCCTACTTATACTCACGCTGTGATCAGCAGCAGCTGGATGCAATAATCGCATGCCAATGTGCATTGGCTCGTTTAGTTTACACTCGAAGTGGATTGGTCTCTCTAAGCGAGATCCCAATTCGTCGGTCATCCGACGTGACGTCGAGAGTGACCGACTGAAAGGGAACGTCTCGGTTACGTATGTAACCCTCGTTCCCTGAAGGAGGGAACGGAGACGTCACGTCCCGTCGCCACAGCTCCTGTACCACCGCTGAGCGGCCGGGTCACCGGCTTGGCTCCTCAGCGAAAACCTGAATATGCGCTGCATCTGCTGCCTACTTATACTCACGCTGTGATCAGCAGCAGCTGGATGCAATAATCGCATGCCAATGTGCATTGGCTCGTTTAGTTTACACTCGAAGTGGATTGGTCTCTCTAAGCGAGATCCCAATTCGTCGGTCATCCGACGTGACGTCGAGAGTGACCGACTGAAAGGGAACGTCTCGGTTACGTATGTAACCCTCGTTCCCTGAAGGAGGGAACGGAGACGTCACGTCCCGTCGCCACAGCTCCTGTACCACCGCTGAGCGGCCGGGTCACCGGCTTGGCTCCTCAGCGAAAACCTGAATATGCGCTGCATCTGCTGCCTACTTATACTCACGCTGTGATCAGCAGCAGCTGGATGCAATAATCGCATGCCAATGTGCATTGGCTCGTTTAGTTTACACTCGAAGTGGATTGGTCTCTCTAAGCGAGATCCCAATTCGTCGGTCATCCGACGTGACGTCGAGAGTGACCGACTGAAAGGGAACGTCTCGGTTACGTATGTAACCCTCGTTCCCTGAAGGAGGGAACGGAGACGTCACGTCCCGTCGCCACAGCTCCTGTACCACCGCTGAGCGGCCGGGTCACCGGCTTGGCTCCTCAGCGAAAACCTGAATATGCGCTGCATCTGCTGCCTACTTATACTCACGCTGTGATCAGCAGCAGCTGGATGCAATAATCGCATGCCAATGTGCATTGGCTCGTTTAGTTTACACTCGAAGTGGATTGGTCTCTCTAAGCGAGATCCCAATTCGTCGGTCATCCGACGTGACGTCGAGAGTGACCGACTGAAAGGGAACGTCTCGGTTACGTATGTAACCCTCGTTCCCTGAAGGAGGGAACGGAGACGTCACGTCCCGTCGCCACAGCTCCTGTACCACCGCTGAGCGGCCGGGTCACCGGCTTGGCTCCTCAGCGAAAACCTGAATATGCGCTGCATCTGCTGCCTACTTATACTCACGCTGTGATCAGCAGCAGCTGGATGCAATAATCGCATGCCAATGTGCATTGGCTCGTTTAGTTTACACTCGAAGTGGATTGGTCTCTCTAAGCGAGATCCCAATTCGTCGGTCATCCGACGTGACGTCGAGAGTGACCGACTGAAAGGGAACTTAATATTATCAATGTTGAAAACAGTTTTTTGTGGAAACCATGATACTTTTTTTCAGGATTCTTTGATGAATAGAAAGTTCAAAAGGACAGCGTTTATTTGAAATAAAAATCTTTTGTTAAATTATAAATGTCTTTACTGTGACAATTAATGCATCCTTGCTGTATGAAAGTATTATTTCTCAAACTATTGAACAGTAGGGCATAATAGATTATTCTGAGTCATATACTTTTTTAACTTTTTTCTTTAATTTAATAATTATTTGATCTTAAATAATAATCTTTTTTTTTTTTTTTAGAATTTATTGATCTAGGTTACTGTTATTTGTAAATATGCTGTTGTTCAGTGTTTATTCATAATACATTAATGCTAATTTATTTAAAACAAATAAAAAATAGAGTAGTTTATATAGAAGTTGACATGAACCTAGAGTAATACACGTTGTAAAAGATTTTTCATTTTTAGTTCTTGATACCTAATGCATTATCTAATGTTTACAAGGTTAAGGTGGTTAAGGCTCAAGGATGGTGTCTGCAAACTGTGAGTCATCACAGGCCAACACGGAATCTGCATGCACAGAATTCCATGTAAAGTTCTGTGAATTCTTCAGAATTTTAATGGAAAGTCTTACACATCCACTGTGCATTGTATGTTAACATTATGTCTGTGCATTATGTTTTATTTTGGCTAATTTGTTTATTCCACCAGCCAACAATAAGAATGTAATGCTCTCAGCTCCATTTAACACATTTGATCACATTTGCATTCATTCTGTAAAATTTCACAAATTTAATTCAAAGTTAATGAAAATATAACCCAGGTTGCGCTGGTTCTGTTACTAGTTAAAATAATGTTCTGGGTTAAATACATGTTGAGCTCTGTTGACAGCATATGTGTGATGTGCTGTTGAATAACAACTAAAAATAATGTTGACTTGTACATAACTTAAAACAAATTATAGACTGGAAGTCTGCAGTATGTACCACATTCAACCCACAATATTCATTTAATATTCTGTGATGACATGTAAAATTACTGGAAATTAGTTCCACATTTAAACGTGTCAGTAATGATGGCTGTCTGGAATTTTTAACTATAGGGCGTTGGGACACGGTGCCTTTGGGGAAGTGTATGAGGGACAGGTTTTGGGTATGAATGGAGAAAACACAGCCATGCAGGTTGCTATAAAGGTGAGTATTCCCAGATCTGCCTTTCCCTTTGAAACGGGTTTCTGGCTTCTCTTAATTGATTCTGTGTTTTATCTCTCTCCATCCCTCTGACAGACTCTTCCAGAAATCTGTTCTGAGCAGGATGAGATGGATTTCCTAATGGAGGCTCTGATTATGAGGTATGCTTGGCTGCAGCACACACTCACAGCACTGCTGTGGCCGCACATGTGTGCGACAGACAGAAAATGAGGGATGAGACATTGTCATTCCAATCCTCTGCTCTCAGTCGAACTAACTGTAGGCTATGAAATCTGTTCCGTTCTTTTTAATCGTTTGTTGTGATTAGCAGGTTCACATCTGTTGTTTGTTTTTGAGGGTATGGCATCCTCTTTAGTCAAGCAGCAGATATTTTCTAGTGATTCATAGTCTTCTGAGCAAAGCGTACTGTAGTTAATGAAAAACATCATATGCTTCATACTTCATTTGCATGGGCTAGATCAGTGATTCCCTACCAGTGGATATTTTCATTTTGACTTGACTTTGTAAAGCTAATCATGCAGAAATGTTCAAATAGGTGCATAATATAACTTATAAAATGTATATTATTATACAAAATAATATATAAAATTATGTAAAATAAAAACTCATATAAATAACTTTACATAAACCTTTTAAAATAAAACAGTAAAGCTGTCAAAAGATTAAAATCCCTTATTTATTTATTTACATGAAGAAGTATTATACAGGTACTAATGATTTACTAGTGCAATATTGAGCTTTATTGATGGGATTACAGGGATATATTATATAAGACAAAAATGGTTGGAAAAACTAGCCTTAATAATGCATATATTTGAAAAATGTTATGATATATCATAAGAAGAAAAAGTCAAAGTATTTAAATAAGATGTTTGATCTGTAAAAGGATTCCATTGTTCAGTACAGTGGCTTAAAAATCTGTTGCCCTTCATTTCAAGATGCTTAAACCAAGATGAGCAAAATAAACTATAAACAGGGTTTGGAATACAGCCAAATATTCATTTGAAATGACATATTCACTCAATATTATCATTGACATGCTGTGTGTGAGTCAAGTTGTCCGTTCTTCTGAATAGTTCAGTTTCCTTCACTCTTTTGTGCAGTAAGTTCAGCCATCAGAACATTGTGCGCTGTATTGGCGTCAGTCTGCAGATCCTGCCTCGCTTCATACTGCTGGAGCTCATGACAGGAGGAGACATGAAGACTTTCCTGAGACTAAACCGGCCCAGAACTGTGAGTGTTTGTGTGTATTTGAGTCTATAGACACCATACTGTTTATATATGTTTATATATATAACTCTGTTTCTCAGTTAGCAGTCATTTTTGCTTTCATGACGATTGTTTGCCAACATGTGTGGAACATACTTTGCATTAGAAAACAACATTAATTATGAATAATACATTCCATTTATTATGAAGAGAGGTAAGATAAGCACAATTTAAATACAAAACAATTCTCTAAAAGAACTTGAATATGTACAATAGAAGTACTGTGTAGTTCCGAAATATTCATATCGTGTTTTTCCACAGAATCATCCGTCTTCTCTAAGTATGCTGGAGCTTCTGCATATGGCCAGAGACATTGCACTTGGTTGTCGCTATCTAGAAGAGAACCACTTCATCCACAGGTGATTTCTCACAGCCAAACCTGACAGAATTTTGCCCTAAAGTAGCATCATTGTCTCGATAAGTGTAAACTGCTCTTTAGTGAATATGTAGATGTCATGAACTCACCCCAGCCTGAGACCTTGATGTCTCACACAAGTCAAGCAAGTATGTATGGTGTGTGTTTCAGGGACATTGCAGCACGAAACTGCCTTTTGACTTGTCCTGGTCCAGAGAGAGTGGCTAAAATTGGAGATTTTGGGATGGCTCGAGACATTTATAGGTGCTTTTATCAAACTTCTTATCTCACATCCTTTTTTTGTGGTTTAGTACCTGTTAAATGTAATAACGAACACAGGCATTGAGTTTTGACAAAGGAATACTTTGCATTGCAGGGCGAGTTACTATAGGAAGGGTGGCCGTGCAATGTTACCGGTGAAGTGGATGCCACCTGAAGCCTTTCTAGAGGGCATTTTTACATGCAAGACTGACACCTGGTATATAACAGATCTGGTGTACTGAAAGACCTTCTTTTGTTAGCATCTAAAAAGAACTATAGTTTTTAAATCAGTGTTTAGTGCACTGTTATGCCAAGATTTAGGTAAAATATATAGAAATACACTGTATAGGTATAATATTTATTAAATTATTAATTGATATCACTCAATTTTTATTAGATATTTTTATTATGTATAAAAAGAGCAGAGACCTGAGGCCAGACATGGTCATTACATGCAATTTGTCTCCATCTGCAGGTCTTTTGGGGTACTGCTGTGGGAGATTTTCTCTCTTGGATACATGCCTTATCCCTGCAAGACCAATCAGGAGGTATTGGAGTTTGTAACAGGTGGAGGTCGTATGGATCCGCCTAAGAGCTGCCCAGGCCCTGTGTAAGCAACAATAACAGCTTTGAGAATGGATCTCGGGCCTAAACTGAACTTAAAGGGATAGTTCACGCAAAAATGAAAATTCTGTCATTAATTACTCACCCTCATGTCGTTATAAACCTGTAAGATGTTCATCAGATTTTCATGTGCATCTTTGGAACACATATTAAGATATTTTTGATAAAATCTGAGAGCCTTCTGATCCTCCATAGACTGCAACACAACTACCATGTTCAAGGCCCAGAAATGTTAGTAAGGACATCGTTCAAATAGTCCGTGTGACATCAATGGTTCAACTTTAATTTTATGAAGCTATGAGAATACTTTTTCTGCGCAAAGAAAACAAAAATAACGACTTTATTCAACAATGTGATAGTTCCCTTGCTGTCTATGCAGGGTCAGAAAGCTCTTGGATTTTATCAAAAATATATTAATTTGTGTTCAGAAGATGAGCGAAGGTCTTACAGGTTTGGAAGGACATGAGGGTGAGTAATTAATGACAGAATTTTAATTCCTGGGGGAACTATCCCTTTAAAGGGGACATCGAATGACCTATTTTTCACAAGTTGGTATGATTCTTTAGGGTCTTCATGAAATGTCTGTAACATGCTTTTATTTACAATTCCTCAATGGTCGTGTAAAACAACACCCTTTTTACCTTGTCAAAAACAGCTCTGTTCACAGAGACCCGTTTCGGTGCATGTGTCTTTAAATGATAATGAGCTACTGCTCACCCTGCCCCTCACTTCCATGAAAGAGGAAAGGCGATTTGCAAATAATCATAAAAATATAAAGTGTAAGACTTACTTCTTCTGGAGGTGCAGCTGGATCACGAAGAGTAGGTACTACTGATTCATCCTTGAGTTGTAACTTTTTTTTAGCAAAACCTGCCTTGAATTGTCCCTCGTTCAGAAAGCAGTCTGGAGTAAAATGATTTGACAGACATAAACGAATTTAGGTGTATTCGGTATTCGCATTACCATCAAAAACAAAACTAATCCACTGCGTCCTCAGTGGCTCTGATGTTGGGAGAAAATGAAGACTCTCATGTTCACTTTTACATCCAACTACAAAACGCCTGCATTGCTTACGAGACATTGTTGCTACAGCTGCTTGAGCACGGAGAAAATGGCGGACAGGGTACAACTGGCTGAGGGCGGAAATATGCTAATACGGGACCATCGGGTCCATCAGAGGTCGTGGCGTCATATTGCTCAGAAAATCAAAATGGCTTGATAAGTGAATGTATTTTTATCATTGTAGGGTGGTTGTGTCCACACATGTAAAAGTGAATTTTGCATCCAATGTCCCCTTTAAATAAATGTGAATGTAAAAAATGTGACTTAGAAGCTATGAAGAAGTATATTTCATTAGTGAAATGTGACTAATCTGTTTTAATTATAATAATTAACAGAATAATTGTTATAATTACTGTAAGTGTTTTGGATTTCGTTCTGTTTTAGTTATCGGATCATGACACAGTGTTGGCAACACTGTCCAGAACACCGACCAAACTTCTCTACTCTTTTAGAGAGGATCAACTACTGTACACAGGTATAACAGAGTCTGAATCTGACAGATTTAGATTTTAGTTTTTTTTTTAATTTACATCAGATGCTGTGATCATTTAATTTGCTTAGATCTGAGGTTTTCAAATATATTTCTGTCTTGGTCCCCGCTTCCTAAAATATATTATTGTGTACAAAGACCCATTTATACTTCATGAGAAAACTATTAAGCATGATATAATAAAAACATTTCCAAAATTAAATAATTTATTTTTTTAATTGTTAAAAAATGTATTTCTGTAGCATCTTTTACAGTAAATATCGTTCCCAAGTAGCTTGTATTTATATACTATTATCATATTTATTCATATTTTAAATGAGCTTTTTTTATTTAAAATTCAGTTTTCATTTTTGTTTATGCTTTATGTTATGTGCTTTTGTCATTATTAATTTTTTATATTTCTATTTATCTTTATTTCAGTTTTAGTAATTTTAGAACTTGAACCTAAACTTGTTTATTTCAGGTAGTTACCAAGGCAATATTTTCTAAATTCCATTCAAGTTTCATTTAAATTGTGGTTTATTTCAGCATTATTTCAATTCTCAAAAACAATTTTTAATAGTCTTAGTTTTAGTTAATGTTAACAACACTGATTATAACCCCCAGTGGCAAAAAGAAACCATAAGAAACACCAAATTTTTTTTTTTTACTCACAAAACTACTGGCAGATTTATTTTATTTCTTAATCTTAAAAAGTTGAGTCAACAAAATAAAATAATCCAGTAATAGTAATAATAATGAAAAACCCTGACTTGCATCACTTGTATTGACCCTTTTCTTCTTGCATCCTTTGATCCGTCAGGACCCTGATGTCATCAACACCCCTCTTCCAGTGGAGTACGGTCCAGCTGTCGAAGAAGAAGGTGGCACTGTGATCCGTCCTGAAGGATCAGGCAGTATGACCCCTCTTCTAGTGGCCCACTCTGTGTCCCAGGATGCTTCCCCTCGAATGGGCATCACTGGTTCAGCCCCACAAGCCCTCAAACCTACAAAGCTACAAAGATCGGTCCATCTCACACAGGAGGTGGGCACGTACCGAGAAACATTAGAGCCGTGTTGGGCTGAGCCAGTTCCTTCAGTTTGTCCAGGACAATGGCTTCAAGTCCCAGATCACCGGCCGTGCTCCAGGAGCAGTTCGTCATCAGGCAGCCAGAAATTAAAGAACAAGACTAAAAACCTTTGGAACCCCACCTACGGTTCCTGGATCCTGGAGAGCTACGGAAGGGGGAAGACGGCCTTATGTCACACCCAGTCCATGCCACTGTCTTGCAACCCCACGTCCATATCTGTCCCATCCTCTACCTCGGAGCGCATTGACCCTGGAATAGAAGTTAAAACAAATGTCTCGACATCCCCACCTTTGTCTGCAGCATCCTCCCAGACCACGTTTAGTCCTACAGGGTCTCCCTCTCGGAAGGGTCCAACAGGGGCTACGGGCGGCTCGCTCGCTGCGGTTATGGACTTGGCGAAACTCCAAAGCTTCCCGTGTGGCAACGTAAACTATGCATACGATGAGCAGAGATACGAGACTGAGAGTTTGCCTGTAGTTGTGTCCAAATCTGTGGAGCCCAGCAGCAGCTCTTCAGCTACGTCTTCACTTGCTGCCCTCGGCCTGGCCACAACATTTACCCACAAACCACTGGTGAAACGCCATGCTAGCTACGGACATGAGGATGTAAGGAGGCACACCCAGTCTGAGAAGCCCATGAGGGACAGGGATTCTGGCTTTTCCTTGTCTGAAGACCTCAGTGTCACCCCTGTGTAGCATTGAAGAATAGTCCGACTGAGAAAACACCAAATTTTTTGGTGTTATTTTGTTTTTGGCGCAAAGGTATTTTACTGCAATAACTGCAGTGGATTAGCTAGAGGCGGAATGGCAGGTTAAGGCTGGAATACACTTCACAACTTTTAAAATCTGTATAATTTTAAAACACTAGGCATCATACAGTACACTTGCTGAAACTAAGCACCACACACTAAATGACTAAGATGCGGTCACTTTTTTTTGCAGGCTAAAAAGGTTGATTGTCAATAGTGTAGAGACGTATCACACCGAAGTCACTTTCAAACCAAGCAGTTTTCTGTTGGTCAACATAGCGAATCCATGTGATCAACTTGAACCTGTTGCGAAATCTGCATGGGGAAATCTTTAGCCCTTGCGTGAAATTCTTAATTGAGTGGATTCCCATTGAAATTGACTGGATTTCACCAGCTAAAAACTTTGCAGAACAACTTCAGGACAATTTGACCTCACCTTGAAGATCACACACTACCAGACTTTCAAGTCATTCTGAAAACAGCAAAGTCATGCAGAAACATGTGCCTCGTTGATGGAGACGCATGACAAATGAAAACAATGTGTTCTAAAATTGGCTTAAAATATCAAACATGTTTGATACTCTCAGAAACTAGATGGTATCATAGTCTGAAGCTAAAAAAATCAGTCTTTATCCATTATACACTACGCAATTTTCTGCGAAATCTGTGAGCGCCAAAATCTTCAGACTTTGGTAATTTGTGTCATCCTCATCCAGATGGCAAATTGGGGCAAAGATCTGAGGAAAAGTTTTGTAGTGTATTCCAGTCTTTAATAACTGCCAGTTGGAAACTATGTGCAAGAGACAACATTATTGCTGTGTGGTACCAAAGACACGAGGAGTCGTAGCTAATTTGCCATTATGAGGCGGCAAATGGCTGATGGTTTCTATGGAAACTTCCACTTGGCTAATAGCAGCCCTTTTACACGGGATTCTCATCTACTGTTAACACTGTGAAAACACATGATGTTCACTTTAAGGACCACATGAAGTGAGAAGTCCTTTTCTACTGATTAGTCATAATTACCAATGAATATATATGTAGGTTTAGATGTCCTTTACAAATTTGCATTTTGCAACTGGTTTTAAGTGTATATTACAGGAAGATCCAAAGCATGTTCAGACCTCACACAAATGGAAAATCCTACTCCATGCCACATAATGATCAGTCACCAAATCTAGTAATATTGAATTGATTTGTTAAAAGTAGCTGTTTGCTTTTTTAAGTTATTTGAGTGACTTGACCAACTTTAAAAGAAACAAAAAAGGTTTGTGTATAAAAAGGACGGTTCACAAAAAAATTAAAATTGTCATTATTTACTTACCCTCAAGATGTTTTAAACCTGTATGACATTCTTTCTTCGATATTTTCAAAAATATCTGATGAAATGAGTTTAAAAGCGTTTTTTTCTCCATATACAACAAAAGTCAATATGTTGTTTTGGACTGCTGTAGCCAACCTGTCTGTATTTTCTCCTCTTTTAGAAAGTTGTGGAAACACTATCATGGATTTTTTTATTTTGATATTCACCGCTATAAAAGTTTACTCAACTACTATTCGACGACTTCCGCTTTTGAGAAACCCTGGAAATGTGAAAGAGGTCCATTGAAACACTCTTCAAAGTATCTTCTTTTGTGTTTTGCGGGAGAAAGTAAGTCATACAGATGTGGAACGACATGGAGATGAATAAATTATGACAATTTTTTTTTTTCTTTTTTGAGGAGTGGGCGTTTTTTAAAGCTTAGCACTGTCACCAGTAACTCAGAGGTACAATAAAAAGGTTAGTAATTAGTTTATTAGTAATAAAGAAATGCTGACAGAAAGCACCTTTGATCTCAGATCAGGTGGACTTTACAGGGTGTTTTGACTAGAAAGTACCATTTATTTAGACTAGATTTAGTGTTTTGTCTGCTGTTAGCTTTGAAAAACCAACACATTTACAAACAGTATGTTGCCTTTTCACTGAGCGTGTGTTTTGTGTGCAAAACAATGAGATAATTGTGAGGGCTTCACAAAGGTGTTGCACCCAAATATGTTAGAAGTAAATGAGGGATGTGACGCGGGATATAATTGTCGTGGCTGCTGCAGAGATTGTATTGATTTACATGTCAATGCACTCCTCTAGGGAGCTCTTTTGAGACATTCTCAATAATCAATCTCAAAAGAACTATTTTTATTGGTACATTTCCCTCAAAAATAAATAAGTAATTAGAAGTGCGTTTTATCTTTAGCTACCCTATGTGAGTCGTGACTGTGTTCCTACAGATCACCTGCAGGCAAATTCCAAGTATTACACAAACCGCATAACACCTCAGTGTGCGTAATATGATGCATGAGAAGTTTGATTTTGAAATTATTCTTCGGTATTATTACTAATTATTCTCAAATATTTTATTAGATATTGTAGTTATTCGGTGAATAATGTTTTTTTGTGTAACAAGATTTATTTGTGTGTGCATTTATTAGTTATTTTAGTTAGGGACTGCTGAGAAAAGCCTTATGCAAATTTACAGACAGATGAGACTGAAGTGTATTAGCACAACCTTAAGTGTATTTTTGTCTTGTTTAACCATTTAAACGTTTCATATTTTGACTGCCTTTTAAAGAGCTTATTCTTTTTGTATGATACTGGATAGAAGGGTAGAAATGGTTTGACTTAAGCCAGGAAAATTGAGTGCTGTATTCTTGGATTAATATTCCTTTCACACTGAACTAACCCTTATGATATGTAGCTGTAATATGTAATTTCAGTTTTAATGGTGTTTGTTTTATAATTATTATTTTGTTGAGGTTATCACTGCCAATGTTCTGCATGTGTCTTGCTTTTTATAGAAGACTTTGCAGGGGTTCATTTCTAAACAGCCAGATTAGAAATGTACCATCACATAAAGTGAATTTGAACGTACTTGTACTACCTGTATTTTTTATGTTAAAAGATGGACATTGCTGCGTAATAGCAAACCTTAAATAAATAGTTTTTGATTATAATCCTGATATGGACTAAAATTAATTTCAGAAATGCAGAATGATTTTGAGCAGATGTTTTATTTATCACAAACATACTGCACAGGGAACACTGTAACAAAACTCACCTGCACCCCTAAACAAAATAGTGTCACAAGGTTAAGTTTGTCTGATAATGAAACGCTTTCAGTGGTGCGCAGGTAGAGAAAATGACAACCCAGGTTCTTAAAACCAATACAATATATCCATGAAATGCATCCATATATCCATGAAAGAATTTATAAGTCCACCCTTGATTGATCACTGCAGTCAAAACGATTAATATCATTCTATTGTACAATAAATGCACTAGTGTTGTGCATCATTCACATTGAATCACTGTATATGCATTCTACATAACACACTTGAATGCATGTGCTGCACCTACTATACACTTTAGTTTGATGGTACTTTAAGAAAGTCAGTTGTGCTAGTGTTTGCAGGGCCTAGACATTGAACAATGTTGCTTACAACTAACCTTGATTTTGTCTAATATGAAGCGCGCAGAAATAAACAATTGATTTGGATAGATTCCAGCATGCAAACCCAGCCAAAGAAATTGGACAAGCTTGACTGATGTTGTTCCTCATTATCTTAAAAACTCCTTTTGTAGGCACATGTAAATTGTGCCCTCATATGAATTACTTTACAATAGAGATGCACCGATTGCAATTTTCTTGGCCGATTCCGATTTCCGTTTTTTTGTTAGTGTGATCTGCCGATACCGATTTTTGCCGATTCCGATTTTCTTTCTAAGAACTATAATTGACAGCATATACAAACAAAAATCTACTTTTCTTCAACGCAAAGTTTTATTTCCATAAAAAAACACAAGTAAAAAGTGATATAATTGTCGTGGCTGCTGCAGAGATTGTATTGATTTACATGTCAATGCACACCTCTAGGGAGCTCTTTTGAGACATTCTCAAAAATCAATCTCAAAAGAACTATTTTTATTAGTACATTTCCCTCAAAAATAAATAAGTAAATAGAAGTGCGTTTTATCTTTAGCTACTCTATGCGAGTCGTGACTGTGTTCCTACAGATCACCTGCAGGCAAATTCCAAGTATTACACAAACCGCATAACACCTCAGTGTGCGTAATATGATGCATGAGAAGTTTGATTTTGAAATTATTCTTTGGTATTATTAATAATAATTCTCAAATATTTTATTAGATATTGTAGTTATTCGGTGAATAATGTTTTTTTGTGTGACAAGATTTATTTGTGTGTGCATTTATTAGTTATTTTAGTTAGGGACTGCTGAGAAAAGCCTTATGCAAATTTACAGACAGATGAGACTGAAGTGTATTAGCACAACCTTAAGTGTATTTTTGTCTTGTTTAACCATTTAAACGTTTCATATTTTGACTGCCTTTTAAAGAGCTTATTCTTTTTGTATGATACTGGATAGAAGGGTAGAAATGGTTTGACTTAAGCCAGGAAAATTGAGTGCTGTATTCTTGGATTAATATTCCTTTCACACTGAACTAACCCTTATGATATGTAGCTGTAATATGTAATTTCAGTTTTAATGGTGTTTGTTTTATAATTATTATTTTGTTGAGGTTATCACTGCCAATGTTCTGCATGTGTCTTGCTTTTTATAGAAGACTTTGCAGGGGTTCATTTCTAAACAGCCAGATTAGAAATGTACCATCACATAAAGTGAATTTGAACGTACTTGTACTACCTGTATTTTTTATGTTAAAAGATGGACATTGCTGCGTAATAGCAAACCTTAAATAAATTGTTTTTGATTATAATCCTGATATGGACTAAAATTAATTTCAGAAATGCAGAATGATTTTGAGCAGATGTTTTATTTATCACAAACATACTGCACAGGGAACACTGTAACAAAACTCACCTGCACCCCTAAACAAAATAGTGTCACAAGGTTAAGTTTGTCTGATAATGAAACGCTTTCAGTGGTGCGCAGGTAGAGAAAATGACAACCCAGGTTCTTAAAACCAATACAATATATCCATGAAATGCATCCATATATCCATGAAAGAATTTATAAGTCCACCCTTGATTGATCACTGCAGTCAAAACGATTAATATCATTCTATTGTACAATAAATGCACTAGTGTTGTGCATCATTCACATTGAATCACTGTATATGCATTCTACATAACACACTTGAATGCATGTGCTGCACCTACTATACACTTTAGTTTGATGGTACTTTAAGAAAGTCAGTTGTGCTAGTGTTTGCAGGGCCTAGACATTGAACAATGTTGCTTACAACTAACCTTGATTTTGTCTAATATGAAGCGCGCAGAAATAAACAATTGATTTGGATAGATTCCAGCATGCAAACCCAGCCAAAGAAATTGGACAAGCTTGACTGATGTTGTTCCTCATTATCTTAAAAACTCCTTTTGTAGGCACATGTAAATTGTGCCCTCATATGAATTACTTTACAATAGAGATGCACCGATTGCAATTTTCTTGGCCGATTCCGATTTCCGTTTTTTTGTTAGTGTGATCTGCCGATACCGATTTTTGCCGATTCCGATTTTCTTTCTAAGAACTATAATTGACAGCATATACAAACAAAAATCTACTTTTCTTCAACGCAAAGTTTTATTTCCATAAAAAAACACAAGTAAAAAGTCAGTAATAAAATAAGAACAAATAAAAAAAATATTTTGACATAATTTTTAATGTATTTGAACGTTTTAGCGCAGTTAGCAACTCATTTTGGTATTTGTGGCTCACAAGCTCTTTGAGACTGAGCGCGGCTTGTGCGCTCCATTAATGAATGGCTAAAATAATGCGCAATACAAGCACTATTTAACCGGAGCGAATGAGACGTGTGTGTGAGAGAGAAGGGGTCGTCGGAGAGAAGAGAGCGAGAATGCGCGGCTGACGTTATTGCCTGTGCCGCTGGTAACAAAACGGATCGGCTCGAAATCGGAAAGAAGTGTGACTGACCGGCCGATCACCGATCATGAGGAAAATCGGCCGATTCCGATCCCTGGTCGATCGATCGGTGCATCTCTACTTTACAAACTACATTTTGTCTTCAACCTTTTTTTTTTGGACTTTGTGGAAGAGTAACTGTATTATGACAACAAACAAATGTGCATTTATTAAAACCATGATCAGGGTGAAATGCTTTTACAGCTCAACACTGTAAAGTAATGGACTTTGTCACTGGTAGCCTCCCTATAATGCACTGCAGAAGGATTAGAAGTGTCTTATCAGCATGCTGTTGCTGTCACGCAAGAAGTTTGCAGTAAGAAGGTCACTCCCTGGCCAATGAGGAAAGGGTTTGCAGCAGGTTGTCCAAGCCCCACAAGTATCCGTCTTCTCGGTTGCCCTCCTCCCAGGGTCTGTAGTGATCCAGGTTCTGTCCGTCTGGGAGCGGTGTGGTCTTACCAAAATCAATGAGCCAGACTTCAGCTCTCTCTGTGTGATTGTGAATGAAGAGAAGCGAACTCCCGATTACCTTAAAGACATGAAACATTTTTGAGGTGGGTCGTATCATGGGGGAAAAAACACCATAGTTGAAAAGTGCCATTCAAACATTTGAGGTCAGTAAGATTTTTTTATGTCTTTGATGGTAGTTGCTTATGCTCAGCAAGGTGGCATTTATTTAATAAAAAATACAGTAAAATTGTACTGTAAAATATGATTACAATTTAAAATAACTGTTTTCTATTTTAATATATTTTAAAATGTAATTTATTCCTCTGATGACAAAGCAGAATTTTCAGCATCATTACTCCAGTCTTCAGTGTCACACGATCCATCAGAAATCATTCTAACATACTGATTTAGTGCTCTCAAGAAACATTTCTTACTATTATCAATGTTGAAAACAGTTCAATTATCAGTGTTGCTCAATATTTTTGCATAAACCATGACACATTTTTTTACAGGATTCTTTAATGAATATAAAGTTAAAAAGAACAGCAGTTATTTGAAATAGAAAATTTATGAAACATTATAAATGTATTTACTGACTTCAACTGAATGTGTCCTTGCTGAATAACAGTATTCATTTATTTCCTAAAATCTTACCAACCCCAAATACTGCAGTACAGTACAACATTAATATGGTGCATAATGAATCAAATAAAAAATATATTCTTAGACATTAAGTAGCTAGATATTCATTTTAAAATTGTTAACAACTCAATCCTTGTTTTTTACTCCCTTAGTATGTTCACTAATTAGATATTAATTGGAAGTGTATTGCAATACAGTACAGCATTAATAAATAATATAGTAAAATATATAGTATATATTCTGGTTAGACATCTAATGTTAGACATCAGACAATTTGATATTAATTGGAAAATGTTAACATTGCACAACTGGGAAAGAATTAAGGAAAACGCATCACTAAAAAAAATGTCATATTTTACCTCGTGTTTCTTGAAGAACTCTGAGGCTTTCAGTGCCTGTTTAATATCTTCAAGCCTTGTAATATAGGAGTTCTGTTAGGTAGGTGAAGGAGAAGAGCACAGCATGAATCAGTAATTCAACTAGAATTATGCTAGAAGTTATTTTTCAGTATTCACTGGAGTGAGGCTCCAATTACACAAGGACACCTTATAAGTGCAGTTAATTTGTTTCAGATTTTTTCTGTTGAGGCCTTATATATTCCTACGCTTGCCTGTTTTAAAATAAGTATATCCTTTAAATATAATGACTTTAAACCATATAGACCCCATATTGAACAGATGAGCTTTTATGATACTGTTTTAACTGCCTTATGGGAACAACGATATCTTTCCTTTTTACATCAGACGTATATATCCTGGATAAAAAGCACTTAAGGTGTTCATTAAGACACAAAGAGAATACTGTTCCATTGAAGTGTAGGTGTGCATGCATTATATCACAGAACAGGTTGGTCTAGTTCTCAAGAACTCACGTACAGTTATGTTTTTATTGCCCTCGACGAAATCCTTAAAGACCTGAATGACGTCTTCCTTTGACCGGGTCTTTTTAAAGTCTGTCTTGCAGGTTTCCCCCCTCTGAAATAAGAAAACAATGTATTGTATCGAATGTAAAAGGAAAAAAAGTCAGATGAAGAGCTGTTACTGACAAAAACAGCAGGTTGAGGATAATACAGTGTTCAAAAAAAGCTGTCACTGAGGCAGTGCCATTTCAAAAGGTACACTTTTGTACGTACTAATATGTACACTTTAGGTAGTAATATGTACCTTTAAGGTACCAATATGGACCTTTTGAAAAGGTTCTGCCCCAGTGACAGCTTTTGTACAAAACATGTCAGTTAATACATTAATTCTTGTACACTTAATAGTAGGGATGCACCGATACCACTTTTTCCAGTACTCGCCCGATACAGATACTCGCCCTGACAGGATGCAGGCCAACAACCAGAACAGGTGTAAACCTGCCACGCACAATATATTAGCATGACTATAAAAAGGAAAGAATGACACATTAGCAAAACAAGTAATACGTTCTGTGTTTTATTTAATAACAGTCATTTTAATATATTATTACTATATTTAAAAAATAACATTAATAGAATATAATTAATTAATAAATTATAAATATAATTAATAATAATTAATATGATTAATATTATACAGTATATTTAAATATTTGCACTGCTCTTTCTATTTCAAATAAATGCTGTGACCTTTCTATTAATTAAAGAATCCTGACAAAATGTATCATGGTTTGCACAGAAATATTAAGCTCCACAATTGTTTTCAGAAATGTTTCTTAAACACCAAATCAGCATATTAGAGTGATTTCTGAAGGATCATGTGACATTGAAGACTGGAGTAGTGATGCTGAAAATTCAGCTTTACCATCACAGGAATAATTACATTTTAAAATATATTAAGATAGAAAACTGTAAAAAGTCATTTCAAACTGTAACAATATATATTAACATTGCAACATTTTTCTGTGTTTTTGAAAAAGAATAATAATAACAAAAATACAGCCTTGGTGACCATAAGAGACTTTAAAACACTTAAAATCGTACTAACCCTAAACTTTTGAACAGTATTGTATATCATTCAATTGATTAATTAACATGAATATAATTTTTTTAATCTCAGGTAATTAAGTTTAAAGTGATTTGCATAATTAATTTAGCTTACATTTTATTTGATTGGGTGGTTCTGTGACTATTCTTTTAAAATGTAATGAATGATTCAAACTTGTTTTGATTGATCATACAGAAAAAGTCAAACTCATGAAGCTCTAAATGTGTTTTTTCCACACGCATTCCCTGTATCACTTGTAAACATTATAATATACAAATACAGGTGCATCTCAATAAATTAGAATGTCGTGGAAAAGTTCATTTATTTCAGTAATTCAACTCAACAAATAAAGTATGGGAAAATTAACAAATGACACTCAAAATATAAAGTAAATTCCTTTCTTTGGCAATAAATAAACAAAACAATGACTCTACCTCACTCCCATCTTGCAGTCCATGACGTTAGGCAAATCAAATTTGGCCAAAAGGTCTTTCATTTTGAGAAAAAGCTCTCCGTCTCGCTCGACCACTCCATAGTAGCTGGGCACGAAGGAATGTAAAGCATCTTCTTTCAGCCTCTCGAAACACAGCTTCTCATTCTCTGAGAACTTCTTCAGTATGGAGCCCTCATCCCCTGCTTTAAAGCTGCCTGGGCAGAAACACAAACACAGACCAAGGATGACTGGAGTCACTGGAGCACATATAATCAACACTGAGCCGATCTTAGTCAGGATGCATGCCTTATTCATCTGTGAATATGAATATTGCATGATGACTGTGCACGTATTCATGGTGTAAATAATTTATGTTTGATATCTGCATGTGTTTAGCGACGCTTCAGATGTGTTGATGAAAATACGTTTATACGTACAGTCATGGTTTTTGGCATGTGAATATGCGTGAGTCCAGTGTCATTACATAACACTACTCATAACCGCTTCCCTAAAATGGTATCAAATGACTGTACTTCCTCATGTATTTTACAAAAAAATATCGCTGTTTACAATAAAACAGCCAAAAGACATGAGCTAAAATCAGTGACGTTTTTGCCAAGGAAGCAATCCGTCCGCAAATAACTTTGATGGAGATGATTATTGATAGTACAGAAATAAATAATGTCCAAAAATGAGTTAATAACTACAAATAAAAGCAAAGCTACATAAAATATGCTTTTTACCCTATTTTTGATGTTTAATTTACATACAAAATAACTGCTTTCAAAAATAATAATTACAGAGTAAAAAGCATATTCAAGTCAGACTTGGTTTTAATAATTGCTTTCTAAAAAAATTCACCAAAATAATAGTTTAAAAACAATATTCATGTCTGAAGGTTGAGGTTAATAATTTAATAATTATCATAATAATTTGTTGAAAAAATTATACTATAACTATTCAATTATTGGTTGCTTACATTGTAAACTTCTGTCCTATATGCATTTACCCCGGAAACTGTGCAAACTGTGTAAATATGGAACTGAAACATGAATTTACAGTGGACTAAAATGTGCAGCATTTGGCAGGTGGGGTTACCTTTATGGCCTGCTAACTGAACCCAGGACAGTCGTCTTCGCTGTGAGGTCACTAATGGGCAACTGACAATAGTCTTCAGCTTCCACCAGGCATTGATTTGCTGGAACACATTAAAACATAATCATCCATGACTATGGAATAAGTTCATTAAATATTTATATACTCTGCTGTAAACAAAACTCAACCCTTGACCATCTGACAATAAGTCTGAGATAAAAGAAGTGTGACCAATGACCAAAACCAACTGACCGTGTTTTTTCAACACTGCACAATTTTCCTCAAGTGTGTGAGACTGAGTCATACACACATGGTCTCCGTTGGAGCTGTGAAGCTCTGTAATCTAGCACTTCAGCCCATAACATAGACGTATGGTTTGCAGCCCATTTCAAATAAGCATTCTGAAAAACATGTCTGTTCATTTGAGGAGTAACATTTGCATAGCACGCTGTTTCTTGAAGTCAATGTGAATGTGAGTCGATGTGACATTACAACACCCTTTACTTTAATAATGTGACATACTTTCAATTGAACCAGTGAACCAGGAGATCTAATTGTATCCACTTCCAAATAGAGTCAATTCTTATTTAATTTTGATTTTATAGTCATGATGTAACAGACGCAGCGACAGATCGTATCTTCGCTATTGTGACATAAATCAGATTAAAACAGATATGATGCAGGGCAGGACTTGGTTCTATCTATCACTTGTTGACTGGATAGAGGCAGATCTAAATAACACCTTGTAGTCGTGATTCTAAAAGTTGTTTTACCGGAAGACTCAGTCATGACATTTTGATTAAAAATTATAAGGTAAAAAAAAAAATAGCCTACACGGATCATTTGTTCACAATAATATCAATAACACAGATTATGCTCGATTATGGCAAAAAAGTATACACACATATATAGATATATATATATATACACACACAATTTCATGGGTTTATTTATTAAATTTAAGTGTAACCTATACTCAAAATTACACCAAATTAATTTGTGCTACTCATTCATAGTGACACACACTGCCGTTCAAAAGTTTGGGATCAGTAAGATTTTTTATGTTTTTACATAAGTTTCTTATGCTCAATAAGACTGCATTTATTTGATCAAAAATACAGAAAAAACAGTAATATTGTGAAATGTTATTGCAATTTAAAATACGTACTATTTTTCATTTCTGTTAATATACTTTAAAATATTAATTCCTGTGATGTAAAGCTGAAACAGTTGTGCTGCTTAATTTTTTTTTGTTTGATGCTTTGATGAATAAAAAGTTAAAAAGAACAGCATTTATTTTAAATAGAAATATTTTGTAACAATATACATTATCATTCAAAAGTTTGGGGTCAGTAAAGTTTTTTCTTTCTTTTTTTTTTTGAAAGAAATGAATACTTCTGTTGTGAATGTGTTAAATTGATTTTAAAAAAAGTGATAGTAAAGACTTTGTTAGGAAAGATTTCTATTTTGAATAAATGTTGCTCTCCACACACACACACATTTAAATAAATAATTTAAAATGAACATTAATTAGATCAACAATAGTTTGATATTATCTTGTTTTCAGAAACATTGGGATCCAAAATAGTAAATGAAAAAAAAAATGTTTTTGATTAATTGCTTAGCCCTACAATAAAAAGTTTTGATATAAAGATTCTTTATACTTTAACATTAATTATCATGTACTGTACCTTACTGAGATAATCACCAATCACTGCCATTTTCTTAGTATTTTTTGTTACTTAATAAATATTAAATGTTTTTAACAGCAGTAAAAAAATCTATAAATATAACTTTTTCTTAAATGCACTTTGTGTGTTGATCTAGTTACTGTGTTTAGCATTCGTATGGCAGTAAAGCCTTTAAATAAATGATCTTCTTTTATCTAACACAGAAAAAAACTTTAAAAAGTTGTATTAAAATGCAGTTATTTTCCCCCAAATTGTAAAAATAAAATGTAAGAAGAAAAAACCCTTTAGGAAAATGGATACTGCAGGTGTTGAAATTGTAAGGGTGTAGCTGAAGTGCAGTGTTTGTTCTTCCACTTGATATGGAAAGAAACATGTTTGTTACTTTCTATCTCTGCTGATGTGCTGATGAAGCAGATGAGTGAAGTTTGCCAACATATGTTGAATTCACCCTCAGGTACAAAAGCTGAATGGAAAACCTTCTTTACAATACAGTGTGCAGCAATTATTATTGAGCCTTTAAAATGGATGTGGTACATAAAACTTTGCTTTGGGGGGTTGGACAAGATCCAGAGAGTACATCTTATTTAAAGTCATGCAGACTGCGTACGGCCCTGTATAAATACAGAGAAAAGCCATAAACCAAAGGCTATGCCCTGCACTTTGTGAAGCTGTGCATACACATTTTTAACACACCCATAACTAAATATTGAACTGGACACTCATGCAGACAATTCAAACATTGCGGTGCCAACCCTCAAACAACTACCATTCACGTTTTATAAAAATGTGACACGTTTCTACGACAACATAAAAAGCTTTACCTTCAATAAACATATCTACTGAATGAAAAGAGTCAACACTCATCCGTGTTGTCTCTTTGCTACGAAAAATGGCATTTTAGCAGTAATTAGAATTTTTAATACAATTATATTTCATTATTAAAAACGAGGCATTTATGACTTGAAATGATATAAAAATCAAAGTGAAAATATAAAGCTAAAAGCTGAATCTTTGGTATCTTTTATTTACTAGTTAGACAAAAAGACACAACTCAGTTTTACCATGACTACATTTTGAAGCACATTTTTACTACAACAGAGGATTGTCAGTTTTTACCCTGCCAATCCTCTTTTGCAGTGAAAATGTGCTGCAAGAAAAAAATAACAATAAAAAGAATCCTTTCAAATGTGAGTATTAAAATCTGTATTGTAATCACAAGAGTTTATAAAACTGACCTGAGCTGCTCTACCATCGAACTGCGGGTGGAAACTTGTTTGTGACACTGTGGCTTCTGCTTAAATGTCAAGC